GACTGGAGGGTCCCGGGTTCGATTCCGGTCAAGGGCATGTACCTGGGTTGTGGGCACATCCCCAGTAGAGGGTGTGCAGGAGGCAGCTGATCGATGTTTCTCTCTCATCGATGTTTCTAACTCTCTATCTCTCTCCCTTCCTCTCTGTAAAAAATCAATAAAATATATTAAAAAAAAAAATAAAAAAAAAAAGGTGAAAAGTGTGTGTGTCGTGGATTTGTTAAAATAATACACTATATACCTAATTCAGAATTTTGATCAATTCTGAGATAAAATTTGTCCCTTATTTGTAGAAAAGGAGGTAAATTAAGTTTCTCAGGGTCATATAGCTAACAAGTAAAGACAGAATGAACTCAAGTATGTATTTGCTTGACTATTATGTTCAAACTCTTCATGATGCAATGTTGTTTCTTCAGTTCCTTGTGCAGATAAGAAATAAAAATAGGTACCATCTAACATGTTTATAGAACTTTATAGCTGTAGTGTTTGTCATATTCCTGGTAATCTGCTAGGTGTCATTAGCCCTGTTTTTCAAATGAGAAAAACTGGACTCAGGAAGATAGAATGACTCACTCAAGGTCACATAATTAGAAAGTGTCAGAGCCAGGAGTGAAACCCAAGATAAATGACTCTTAATGCAAACCATGTTTGACTAAGGTAAGGCATTAACCAGCTACCAGACTTGAAATTAGATCACAGACATAAAGACTATTCCAAGAGAAATATATTGGATATATAAGAAGAGATGTTGCACATGTCAGATGAATTCATTAATTTATTCAATGAATTATTGAATGGCTACTTTGATGTAGGTTGTTTCAGTACCTGGGATAGAGTAGTGTATAAATGACAAAAATCACATGGAACTTCTAATTTCTATAGAGAGAAACAAGGAAGGAGGGGATAAGAAGCGGGAGTTTGCAATTTTATATGGCCAAGTAAGGTGTCCCTGAAAAGGTGTGACATTTGAGCCAAGATAAAGGCAATAAAGAAGTGAGCCACATGGATAGCTGTGACAAGAACATTCCAGGCAGAAGAACAAAGGACTCGGATTGGTAATGTTCTGGCTTACTGCAGGAGCAGCTAAGAGGTCAGAGAACTACTGGGGGCAAGGGGTGAAGTGGGTGTGTGGACATATCACATAGCAGTGGTCAGCAAACTGAGGCTCGCAAGCCACATGTGGCTCTTTGGCCCCTTGAGTGTGGCTCTTCCACAAAATACCGACTTCTGTGCATGTCGAAGTTTCAATCGCACTGTACATGCATGCCCACACGTGGTATTTTGTGGAAGAGCCACACTCAAGGGGCCAAAGAGCCGCACGTGGCTTGCGAGCCGCAGTTTGCCGACCACTGACATAGGGCCTTGTAGGCCAATGTAAAGACTGGGACAGAGCAAAATGTTAACTTTGGGCAGAGTAGCCTCATGGAATTTAGAATCTGGTCAACATAATGAACCTGTCCTAGGCATTCCATGTATGTCTAGATCAGGGGTGGGCAAACTTTTTGACTTGAGGGCCACAATGGGTTCTTAAACTGGACCAGAGGGCCGGAACAAAAGCATGGATGGAGTGTTTGTGTGAACTAATATAAATTCAAAGTAAACATCATTACATAAAAGGGTATGGTTTTTTTTTTTTTTTTTTAGTTTTATTCATTTCAAATGGGCCGGATCCGGCCCGCGGGCCGTAGTTTGCTCATGGCTGGTCTAGATCATCGGTCCAATTTAGTCTTGGGCTACCTGGCAAACAGATGTTACTCTGTGTCTACCTTGTTACTGTTTTATAAAACATGACCTATCTAGAGAGTGTTGATAGTGTTCCAGATTAATAGACAGCTAATAAATAAACATGTAGCACAGACCTATAATCAATGCTGGATATTTTAAGAAAAGCATCCGGACTCACATGCTTGGTCATTCTGCCACCACCATTGTGGAGGACGGGTGGAGTGAAAGAATGAAGTCAAGGAGGCTGTTACAATAGTTCAGGCAAAATGATGATGGTGAACTGGGAGAGGAGAAATGGAAAAATGGGGTAGAGATAAGAAGTACCCAAGAGGTGGACCAAGCCTAGGTTAGGGAAAGATTAGATGAGCAGGATGTGAGTGAGAGGTGGGTCAAGGTTGACTGCTGGTGGCCCAGCATGGGTGACTGTGTAGATGCCACCCTTCCCTAAGAATATGGGAAGGAAAAAGGTTTGCTCATGAAGAAGGCAAGGAAACAAGTATCATTGTTCTGATGCAGGCAGTTTCAGTGGAAGGAGGGGTCACTAGGAAGTGGCCAGATGAAGATTCTTGAAGGCCTTAGGGCTTTAACTTAGACCTAAAAGATGGTCAGGATTTAGAATAGAGAAAAGAAGGAAACACAGACAGCATTCCAGGCAGAAAAAAATATGAACAAAGGCACAGAAGTGGCAGAGTAACTACACGGGTCTTTGTAAGTAGGAGAGCAGTGGAAGAAAGGATGAAGAGGATGGTCCTTGGATGCTAAGGAGTCTGCATCTGAAATCCTCCTTTCAGAGAGAGAATTCACTGTTTCAGAAGGCATCCAGGCCCACGGTTGATCAGCAACCTTAGGTGACTAGCAGTAGTAGCCATAAATGTCCTGATGGTCTTGCTAGTGATCTCCTACGACTACACTTGGCTGCTGCTGAAGCTTTACAGCTCTAGCTAGAACTCAGCTCTCCTGAATCCCATCTCAAGATTAAACAGACATTTTAGTAGTTTAGTATTCAGGACCACTGCGCTATGCTATCACCAAACACATACTATAGTTATATTTTAAGTGTCAAAAAACAAGTTTAACATTTTATCTAAATTGATTTCCTTTCACCATGAAGCATTTATTGTTCTTTTAATTTGAACTAAATAAATTCTATAATGAATTTTTCATAATGTTGGTATAAAACAAAATAAACTTTTAGTCTACCCTGCATTTTCTAGCCCATCAGACACAATAATAGGCAGATTTTTAACTCCATCCAAATAATATATAACTTAAAAATTAATATTTAAAAGTCTCAGCTGTAAAAATACCAATTGCTTGGCTTAGTCTGAAATTATTGCCTGTGGTGGTGGAATACTTGTAATGTCTGTTCAAGTCCATCATGGAAAAAAAATACAAACCAGAGCATTAGCTACAGTTATGTATTTTCCTGCAATACATTCACATCTCTCCCCTTCATTTCCCCTTGGCAACAACTGAATCCCTACCAGCTCTGATAATTCATAATGTCTTGCTTCAGTGCCACCCTTGAAAACAAAGCCATCCTGTGCTCTGTGCACGTCATTATGAACCAAGACAGACCACAGGTAAAACGAGAGTTCAGATCACTCCAGATGAGTTCTTCCAGGAAATATTGCTTCTCCTATAATATAATCGGAAACGCTGAGCTCGCGCCAGTTACCGGGCAAACTGCTAAACGCCCGTCAAAAACAACAACAAGAAGAGGACCACGTCCTTCCTTCCTTCCTTGTAGTTTTAAGCCGCCTCTGCCTCTTCCCTTTTACAGCTTCCTTCATTTTCATTCATTTCACTCCCGTCTGGCTCTGCACGGTATACAGCTTCCATACCTCCCCCCCCCCCCCCCCAGGGGCTTAGATGCAATAAAACCACTTTCCTATCTTACTGCCTAAATATGCATTTCAGGAACACACTCCCTTTGGTTTTCTACCTCTGTTAAATTCGATCTCAATTTTCTGTTCATTGTGCTCTAAATTCTCAGAAATGTACCTCAGGGCCTAGATCACGAAGAAGAGGAAGCAAGTTTGGCAGGCAAATGCATAAAACAGCTAAGGGATGAAGATAAAACAGGCGCTCATTCCTGGGAAATTACTGGAGGGAAGTCAGATTTCTAGCCTAAGACAAATGAGCCCACTTCTCCCCTTTGTGCCCAGAAATTTGGATGCTACATAGACACATCTTCAATAGCCTGCTTTACAAAGGACCCTAAATGCTATACAAAGGGAATCCCTCTAGGAGCCAATTTTTTTTAAAAAAATTACTGGTCAGACATAGATGCTTCATGGAAGGAGGCATTTTTGTTTTATCCATTAATAAGTCGGAATCTCTCAGAACAGTGCCGGCACATAGTGGGTCCTCAATAAGTATTTGTTAAAAGAGCAATTTCACTGGATACACCATACACAGAAATTCTCTCTCTCAGTCAGCATGAAGCCCTTTAACTTACAACTGTTCTCCAAATCACTCATTCTTCATTCCCAGATCATTGCTATAAAAGCCAAGTACAGTGGAACATTAGACACAAACAATAAAACATCACATTATGAACTGAGCTTTTGCTTTGTGATTTGAAAGATTTGCCATTAAACACTGATTTCTTTCTTTCATTTTTGTTATCTGCACTTCAATTTCCAGTTTACCCCTTTATTTTGAATGACAGTGCACTATTCATCCTTCAAATAAGAGAATGAGCATATAAAAATCTACCTTATTTCACCTTGAATTCAAAGATTGCTTTTCCAACGAGGAGTGAGGCGGCTGCTTTCCTTTTTAATGCTCACTTCCATTTTTTAAACTTGCGTTCTTACCAGGTTGAAACTTTGGCAATTTACTTTTCGCCCATTACCTAAAGGAACGCATTAGATAGGACGTCCTCTTGTGGCACAATTTAACACAATGGAATCAGGGGAGTCTTTTTTTTTTTTCTGGTTTGTTTTAACCGCCAAACATAGGCCATTTGACAAGTAATTCAGTTACTATTATGACCAGATCTCCTCATTCAGCATAGAAGGAGAACCAAATTATTTTCCATTTTGTCTCCTTCTAATCGGAAAACACATTTTGTCATTTTGGATGCTTCCAGTAGTCTTTAGAAAAAAATCCAATTTGTATATTTTTCCCAAGACATCTCTCTTCTGGCGATGAGTTAAAATGTTAATAATGAGGAGGTGAGGGGAAAAAGGACCCATTATTTTGTGGACTCAGATGGTTTCAAGGTTCCTTTAGAGCTTACGATGCTGAATGGTTCTAAAACGCCTTACCTGTCCATAGCCTTGGGGAAACTCCACTATCTCTGAACTGCTAACTTGTATCCTGAAGTCTGCAGGCAAAGCCCACAATAGGGCCTAATTAATCAAAATTTCTCCCAAGCACCAGGTCCAACCTAAAATAAGTGAATGAATGAATTAATTAATAAAAATAAATAGTATATGCTTTTTCCTAATATTTTTTTAAAATTTTGATAAAGACACATGTACAATTTCTCAAGAATGAGTACAATTGGTGCTAATTCCATGGCATTTTTCCTGAACCTCTCCATGGATAAGTCTGCTTCCCATTGCCAACAAACTTAGTTTTCCCCAAACCTGAAATAAATGTCTAACAAAAGCTTTTCTTGGCTTTGCTCCCCACCTGAGGCTGCAGTTACCTCTTCTGTTGAGTCCTCACCTGCCCATAGTTTGTTCAACAACCAGTCTACACCCAGTGGCCTCTGGCTCACCTACTCCTGGCTCCAGTCTCATACCATTGGTTCCTTTCCTCTCCATCTCAAAGGGTATTCTCTCATCTAGTACCTCTGCTTTTCTATGGATGTGTTAGTGATTTGATTTAGATTGCAGGCCATTTGGATCCATTTCTTACCACCAACATACAGGCACACTCGCTTGTGCACACACACATTTCAACACAATAGGGGTTTTATTGTTAGCTGCCAGGAGGGATCATAAAAGGACTTGCCCCTAAGAGCAAATTCTTCTTAGAATGAGTTCTGCGACATTATGTATGTTAAAATAGCTATGTTCCACCATTTAATGGGTAATATGGAACAAAATTTCCGAAGGGAGAGGAAAGGGACTTTGCCACAATGTAGGGTCCTTTCTACTCTTCCCACTTAGGTTCCACCCCTTAGAAACCTGCTCAATGAACATTCATAAACGTACCATTCATATTAGTACCCCTGCTTCTTGTGAGTGAACAGGAAAATGTACGGAGAATCTCTGCTCCTCTTCCGAACCCCAGTGGTATTAAATTCCCAGTATGAATTTTTTCATGATCAGAATCTTCAACCTCTGCTCAGCTAACATTTTAGGGAGAACTTAACTCCATCCCCAGCACAACCATGTGTTCAGTGATCACACGGACACTGAGCTGAGCTCTTCCCCATACATAAACTATTCATTCCTTAAACACACTGAGCACCTACTCTGCTCCTGGCATTGTTTGGTGTACTAGCTTACATCCTACCATGTGGGAGGAGGGACACTGATAATAAATAAAACAATTTAACAGAGCAGTAAATGCTATGAATTCAATAAAGCATTGTTGTTCGAGAGTGACACATTGAGCTGGGTGGATGAAGAAGGGACAGCATTAGGCAGAGTCCAGAAAAGATCTCTTTGGAGAGGTAACACCTGAACTGAAACGTGAAAGATGAGAACGATCCGGGGGAAAGTTTTTCAGGCAGAGGAAGTAGCAGGTGCAAAGGACCTGAGGTTGCAGGGTCCTTAGGGCCCTCTCTGCCCTGAGTTCCTGGCGCGACCCTGGAATCTTCTGTCTAGGACGTCCTCCTCGCTCAGGCTGTCTTATAGGCTGAGTTTTCAGTCTCAGCAGTGTTCAGATGCTCAACTTGTCTGAAATAATCACAGACTTCATCTCAATACTTTGCACTTGACCTTCAAGGGCTTCAGAAAGAAAAAGCAATTCAAAGCAAGTCTGCGAATCCACAGGATCCCTGTTGACCCCACTGTCTAATATGTCACCTTCCTTATCTAAGAATCCATGGGCTACACTCCATAGAATCTGGTGCCAAGAAACAAAAACTCTTCTGCAAACCTGTCTCCTTTCATGAGCCAATGAGTGGTAAGGAACCGGTCCTGTAACCCTTTTATTCTGGCTGCTGGAAACCCAGAGCTAAAATGTAGTGCTCCTGCTACAATAACAATCCCATCCATGGTTTGTGCCATGTTCACCACCCCACTCCCTTCCTCATTTATTTCTGTCTGTGGCTTCTTATCTTTATTTTGTTTCATTTTCATTGCCCTGTGTGAAGAGTGCTTTTATTAAGCTGCCCCAACCCTCTGGGAATAGATGATGTGTAAATCATTAATCATGAGTGCTTTCTAGACAATCACAAGTCACTTCCTCGTTGCAAAATCCAGCGTGTTGCCTTGGTCCTGCGCTCACCCTCTCTGCCACAAGGCAAAGCTGAGCTGCTCTCCTGTCTTAAATCCGTCTCCCCTCCCCAATATTTTCTGGAAATTTACATTACAATTAATAAAATTGGTGAAAAACAACACTTCCTTGGTCTCGTGGCATACAACAGTATCTTCATTCATATAACGTAGTTTAGTTTCCTTCTTTTCCCACAGGCCCAGGATTCTATTCTAGGCCCGCGGTGCTCTCTACACTTTTTCCTTTGGCAACCACCCTCCACTGTCACCTCTCGGGAAAAGATTTTCAAGTTTTATTTCCAGCCCCAGCCTGTCTCTTGAGTTTGCGTTCCAAATTCCCTGGAGCCATTTGAAGCTCAGAGTTGGGATGAGGTCTGCAAGTTCTTTACCCTCCCAGTCCTTAAATTCCCCCACAACATCTCTGTCACATGCTTGTCCACCAAGCATTTGACTGCAAATTTACCACCTATCAAGGTAGCCCATCTAGCGAGCCAGCACTGAGTATTAAAAACTTATTTCCAATAGAATGGCAAAATCTATCTCTATGACATGTGCCCACTGGTCTTAATGCTCTCAAGAGAGGATAAGAGCTGAGACACACTAAATGCCAAATATGTACCAGAGGCATTGCCCATATTATCTGCTGACAAGCCTGCCATGGAGTTTTATTATTCCCATTATACCACTGGGGCAACTTAATATTAGTCTAATTATTTCACACGGCCCTTCTCCAAGTGGTGAAGCACTCATTCTTCAGAGGAACTGACTCTATTCCAGGTTAAGAAAGTACAAATTCCTCCAATCACTTCTGCTATGAATTATTGGTTTTTTTTTGTAACTTTACCATTTGTATTGAAAACCTTTAATCATGGTGTCTAAAAAACACACCAAAACAAAGTTCAAATGAACATTCCAGTTGTGGTTTGACTATGCAGAATAGAACAAAATGGTCACCGACTTATTCTAGATACGGTGTGCTTCCGTTAACAGAATCTACAATCACACCTGTTGCTTTCTACGAAATCACCTAGGCTTTTGATCGAGAGCCTGCTGAGCATCTGCTAGAACTCTGACGGAAGGGCACACTGTTGCCCAAACTGAACGCAGCCGATTTATCTTCCCTAACCTCTTCACCAGTTTGGTTTCTCCTGATCTTCATAGCATCTGTATTAACCAGACACGCAGGCTCAGACCCTCCATGTGAACTTTAAAGGTCCTTTTATATCTTCTAAGTCTCACTGGTGACCAAATCCTGAGGGCTCTGAGTCAAACAAGTTCTCACAAGGTCATCTTCCCTCTGCCTTATGTTGGATCTTCCCAGTTCAGGCCTGGACAGCTGAAACTCTGTTCCTGCCCCCACCCTGGCCCCCCCACTGCACAGAACTGAGGGAGGACTGGTCTCAGGCTATAATCCCTACCTACATAGCATGCATGGCACTCCATGACTATCAAGGGCAATTCTAGCTATTCACCTCTATTCAATATATATATATATCTGTTAATACTTTCTCTCTTTTTATTAGTCTGGGTTATTTTTTATTATTATTTAAAATTTATCTTTATTGTTGAAAGTATTACAGATGTTCCCTTCTTTTCCCCATTGACCTCCTCCATCCCACCCCCCTCCTTCCCCACACTATTGTCTGTATCCATGCATTATGCATATATGCATATACATTCTTTGGTTAATCTCTCCCCACCCACCTCTATACCCCCTACCCCAGTGTTTCTCAACCTTCTGGCCCTTTAAATACAGTTCCTCATGCTGTGACCCAACCATAAAATTATTTTCGTTGCTACTTCATAACTGTAATGTTGCTACCGTTATGAATTGTAATGTACATATCTGATATGCAGGATGGTCTTAGGCGACCCCTGTGAAAGGGTTGTTCAACCACCAAAGGGGTCGCGAGCCACAGGTTGAGAACCGCTGCCCTACCCCCATCTTCCGCTGAGAGTCATCAGTCTGTTTCATGCTTCTGTGCCTCTGGATCTAATTTGTTCACCTTGCTATTAATGCCCACCAGTACCTGTCTCCTTTCTGGCCTTATCATCCTCGAATTTCCTGGATGTGTTATATATTCCTGGAAAACTACGCCACAAAGTATTTTTTTGAATTTTCTTAGTTCTATGCCTGTCTTTATTTACACTGTCCTTGAGCCTGGAAGACTTCTTTTTTTTGCCTGTCAAATTTCTGTCTTTCAATAATTTGAGAAAATGTCACAAGCTCTATGAAACTTGTGCCAGATATGACCATCTAAAATTCATCTGAAGTTCCTGAATTCTCACAGCGTTTTATTTTTTTCTCCTAGAATAGAATAGTAATAGCAATTTATATACATATTTTCTTTCTTCAATTAGCTTTTAGGTTCCCGAAGCCTTGGCTTTGTCTTATTTAATTTTACTCTTCCCAGTTACAGAGTAGAGCTCCAATGAGTTGTATTAATGATGAAGGAGAAAGTAGGAAACAAAAGAGGTGATAGAGAAAACTTGGAAATCTAATGCAAACACTTGAGAAATCAGACCAACAGGCCATATTTACAGATGCACCAAAAAGACCCCTCTCTCCTTCCATTACTTCTGCTTGCCCCTAACTTAATTTTTTGGATTGTACTCTCTGAGCTCTGCTCTCAGGCACAGGACCTGCTTTTTCCCTGAGGTCTAACCAGACTAGAACTCGCCTGGGGCCAGTGGTGAGAGGCCAACATACCAAGAGCCAACCTTGGTTTTGGTTGGAATCAGCAACTTCACTGAATAACTACTTTCAGTGACCTTGCTAAGCAATAAATCTATCTTCCCTTAAAAAGAATCTCAGTCAGTGACAATTAGCAGACAAGCTTTTCCACACATACATGTCACTCTTTTTTGTTGTTGTTGTTGTTAATCCTCACCCAAGGATATTTAAAAAAAAACAAAAACATTTTTATTGATTTCAGAGAGGAAGGGAGAGGGAGAGATAGAAACATTCATGATTAGAGAGAATCATTGATTGGCT